TGAGGACCCAGAGAGTGGCCCTGGGGGTTGCCTTGCCTGGCCTAACCTGCGCGGTTGCCCTTCTGCGCAGCTCCTGCCTCGGTGTTCGGGGGGGGGGCAGCCCTAGCCCCCTGGACGATCTGTGGGCAGACAGGGTTTCCTTGGGCGCCGGCTCCGGCCAGTAGAGCCCCTGGCTTTGGGAGGCGTGTCAGCCAAGAGATGACGGTTTTCTTCAGGCCTCCATGGGAGGGAGACTCATCTGCAAGGAAAAAAATTAGATTGCTTTGGGAATGAATGGGGGTTCAAGCCAAAGAGAGTTTTCCCGTTGCTTTGTCTTCTCCGACGGATCACACTCGCATCCATCCAGGATGCCATTAACTCCATCAAAATGAATGGGACTTGCCTAAACAACCCTGTAAAGGGCTGGGCTGCAATTCCGTGCTCACCATTGAATTCAATGGAGTCTAGTAACATTTTCTTCCCCTGGAACTGGTGGAAGCCCACTAGTATGTTCTCGCCAACAAAATGTGCTAGAAGGCATTTTCTCCCCCTCTACATCCCACAGCATCCAGAAGAAAACCCCTAGTTAATTTCTGGTTTTCCACAACAAAGAGCCTCCGAATTGTATCTTCAAAGCATTTGGAAAATCTGGGGAAAATAAGTTTATTCATTTTCCCACATTAAAATACTGATAAATCCAGGACTTTGGAGTGGTTTCTCATATCCAGTACGATAAATCAACAAGAGGAAGATGAAATTTAAGTGCAGGTGGAAAACAGATCTCCGAATTCGCCCGTGAGCTGCAGCAGGATGAAAGCTCTAGAGGGCTTTTCCAAGAAGCACCCCCTTAATGGTGCTTAATTTCTTTCTAGCAGAAATGCCCCCTTAGTCTCACCCGAAGGACAGCCACCAGGGTGGTGCTGTCACTAGTGTGGCAAATGCACTCTGCCTTTTTTCAAGGGTGCATTTACCTCCTGCTTTCTGGAGTCAAGCTCCGACACTGAAATGAAAAATCAGGAATGAAGTTGATGAGCTCTGATGTTTATTAGAGTCTTGGCCCCTAGGCTGAAGAAATGGATGTTGTAGAAAATTCATGACTGCCCACTCACAACTTCTTTAACTACTAAAAGGCACAAAAGTTTTCTTTTTCAACTCTGCAATTAGGTATTTAATAGCTGCAGCCCTTGCAATCTTAATGGAGTAAACTTTGGCCAACATAATTTCTGAGTAAGAATGGACAGAGCACAGAAACATGAAAGAAAAAAAAACGAATGCGCACTTGAATTTGAAAATATTTTATTTGAATAATAAATAATTATACAGTTAAAACAGTTCTATTGAAGCATTCTATAAATAGCTAACAATTAAGAAAATAATGTGTGTAGAAAAGAGATTGCATCTAAAAGTAAGCTGAGCTGTTTGAGAGCTCTCCAAGCAAGAATAAAAGAGTTGCAGTTGTATGTTTATTCTAGATATAAAAGTTAAATCCCTTTCAACAGATTTGTTTTTTTTTTTAAAGAAGGTAATAATGCAATCCCATATATGTTTACCTAGAAATGAGCCCCACAGATTTCAGTAGGACTTATTCCCAGGGAAGTGAGTTTGGGACTGCAGCATTTAAAAGCACAGTGAAATGGTAAGAGAAAGGCAAAGCACATCAAAAATGATATAAACACCATGATTAATAAATAACCAATAAATAACAATTGCGCATAAATCATCATATACACAGAATGTCAACAAATATCTCTAGTCTGAAAAAGAAAAACAAACCCAAATGGTTGGCATTTTATAATATTAAGGCAGCGTCTACAACATTTTTCAACAACAATAAAGTCAAGGCAATTGTGGCTATACTAACCAAAGTTATATCTTTAAGCAGTTTGATTTTGTTCACATACAAAATAAAATTTAAGGAAACCAACCAACCAACAACAACGAAAAGGTAAAGCCAGATCCCAGCAGTTCACAAGCCATAATAAAGCTAATCAAATAGGTAAATGTTCAGTTCATAGCCTGTGAAATGTAAAGGCATCCATCGTCATTCCTTAAGATTCACTTGGGGCAGCAGGAGAGAGAACGGGAATCTTTTCCATTAAGATAGACACTTGGACCAGCTCCCGGGTGCAGGGAAAAGGGGGAGGGGGCTGCTCCAGTGAGCGCCCTCCGAGCGGCACAAGTAGAAAGAGGCCTTAAATACCAGCATCACATGGATGCGCAGCGGCTGGGGGTGGGGG